GTTAAAAAAATTTACTTCAATGTGCCGGAGACAGACAAGGGCACCTATCTGGTCCTCCGTCATCACATGCACGCCCGAGGCCCACCATCCCAATCTACATGCTGCCTCCGACTGCCAGAAGCCGTCCTGGCTCTGCGGAGGCTTGGAAGTCTCTGCCCACGCTGGCTGGCTAGGATTCTGCGGTCCTCTCTGTTCCTGCTGTTTCCCTGAAGGTGCTGCTCAGCAGGAGAGCAAAGGTCCTGCCTGCTCTTCGCACTCAACAGGCCCTTTCTCCTTTCTGCTCCCCACAGCAGCCCAGAGAAAGGCGCCTGCAATCGTGTAATTAATTCCCAGACACTCTAAGCCCACGACTCTCCTTTGCCCTCTCCCCTGCCAGCCTTCTACATTCTGCTAAATGGCCCTTAGAACACAAACGCCAAAGGGCTGTGCGAGCAATTTTATGTTTTTCTGGTGCTATATACTTGTGAAGGGAATGAGCTGGGCCTGGGGCTGGCTGGCTGCTGGAAGACGGAGGTGAAAAGCGGAAAATGCAAAAACACCCCTCCTACATGATGTCATCACTCTCTCCCCTCCAAGTTCAAGCCAGTTGAGAAATAGGCTCGGGCATCAATCAGAGATAAAATGTCCTCATTCATTTAATATGCATTTGTTAAATATCATCTAAGGTCTTAGAATTGCTCTAGCCATTAAGAATACAGAAGTATCTAAAACAGACAAAACAGCCATCTATTATTTGCAAAGTTGCATTTTAAAACTCGGCCCAGCCTGCGGCCAAAAGGAGGTTCCCTGAATTGAATTTACTCATGTAGTCAAAAGCTTTCTTAAGTGCCTGGAAAACTAAAAGCCCCTCCCTCCTCCATCCTCCCAACATGGTTCCCTGTCCGCAGTGAGCTTCCTGCATGGAAGATCCGGGAATGGAGGAAAGAACACCAGCAGACCTCAAGCTGGCAGCTCTAAAAGAGAAAGGGCCAGGGGGCTGACACACACACGCACCTGCACACACCCCACCCTGTTCCAGGCTCACCGGTTAGCTGCTTGAGTGGGTGGAGAGAGGAGCAGAAACCCCGTCCCTCGTGGGTGGAGGCAGGAACGTGAAGAGGGGAAATATTGCAGCTTTTAATCCAGAGCCTTGTGAATTGTTCCTGAATTTTGAATATGATGTAGCTGAATTTATCTAGATATGCTTACTCCTTTGTTTAGCTCTAATATTTTTTATGTTAAAAGTGTCTTTATTACTAGTCGAGGAGGCTATATTATACAAGGGCCTTCTATTTCCATTAATCCATGCGTCCATAAAAATCATCTGTGTCACACTAAATATATTACAGAAGTTGAGTGCAGATTAGACGCACTCCCCTGCTCTGTTCTGTGAAGATGGGGAGTGATCCCTTCAAGCTGCTCTCCGGGCTCCCTTGTTAGCTGGCTTCCAGCTGGGTCCAGCCAACGGAAGGCCTTGGCTGCAGGCTTGGGGGCAGGTGGGAAAAGCCAGGGTGTTTGTACCTCTGGGTGCATCTCCCAAGCTGGCTGACTGTTGCGGTCCCAGCTGCTCCACGTAGGTCCATCGTGATTCCCATTTCTGCCAAGTGTACAGGCCATAGGATCCAGTGCCTCCACCTCCCCTCAGCTTGAGTGGTTCTGGCCTCCTCCTCTTTCTCCTCTATTTACTGGGCTGCTCTGCAGAGCCCCCGGTTGGCTGTCCCTCTCCGCCATCACATATGTAATTCATTCAGTTTTAAGTTCCTTCCGGCTTACATACATGGAATGGACTGTCTTCTACTTTGAAGCTTAAATGAAGCTTCTGGCTTGAAGACTATCTTTTGCATCTTTCTCAGATAATGAAAATGAACTCCATCAACTGAATGGAGAAGAGGGTTCCATGGAAAACTGGAGTCCGATGATTTGTTGATAGCTGGTCTATGTAAAAAAAGGTTCTTTGGTCCAGTGTTTGGAACACAGTGGGTTAAAAGAAGTCAAATCGGTTTAATATTAGATCACTCATGGAGTTTTAACGTTCTAGTATGCACTGTAACTTAGGGCAATCATACACAGAACTTCCCAAAGTTATTTAACCAAGGAGCTCCCCTTTTTCAAGGAATATCTACTAACATCTCCCAGGACTCTAATGCTTTATACAACCGAATTTGATAAATACTAAATAACAATAATCTCAGCCAGACTTTTGATGGGAGTGGGGAGCATCACCTGAGAGGGAGTGCCGGCAATATCCCCATGTCCTCACATTAAATGATGGACAGACTTCAGACACCAGGCGAAGGTGGCTAGCCTAATGCCTCATTATTAAATTGAAGGAGTTTGCTTGTGTTCTTACTCAGATGGGGGGCAGCTGGGTGAGGAGGATAAAACCTGCCTCAGAAAACACCTGAATAAGCAGTGCTTGAGGGAAATCCAGTTCAACACCATCAAATTAGAGGAAAGGGACGAAAGGGGAAAGCAGTGAGACCACCCACCTCAACCCTAATGGCACTGGCATGATGCCTGTTTATGGTTTGATACGGGGTCGACTAATGCATTCAGATGCACCTAGAAGAAAATTGACTGCAGTTAGACTTCCTTTTTGATTATTGTAGATTCCAGCAGGATCAGCTTTAAGAGTTCTAGACAATCACAGGGTAGTGTAGTGGGAAACACGTGCGTCAGACTTAGATTTAGTCCGAGGGATCAGGGGAAAGATAATTAACTTATCTGAGCCTCAGTTTCTTTATCTGTAAGAATCTGGAATTTAATGATCTCTGCAATGAAGCTGTGGTGAAGACTAAATGAGGCATGTAAAAGCATTCTGTAAAGTGCTATGCAGATATTAAGTAGTAAATTATATTCTCGTCTTATAGTCAGCTCAGTTTAATGCCCTCTCCCATTAATATCTGTATGCTTCATTGTATTTTAGCTTTGTTCTTCAAATTATAATTCTGAAATAATTTCAGACTTAAGTTGCAAAAATAGCACAAAGTACTCTCAACTCATCGCTTCTTGGCCTTTTGGCTAAGACCAAGTGTACTCTCAACTCAGATCCCTCCAAATATATGTGTAATCACAGCATGATTTCAAAAATCAGGAAATGAACACTGATAACAACATGTATATCATAGTCAAACTTCGCCAATTACCCCACTAACGTCCAATTCCCGGTCCGGAATCCAACTGAAGATCGCATGCTGCACTCGTGACGTCATCTTCATTTCCTTTACCTGGACATCCCTGAGTCGTGGTCTTGAATAATTTTTTTAAATTAAATTTAATTTTTAAAAACATTTTTAAAGTGAGTTATAGTCATTTTACAATGTTGTGTTTGAACCATCATAATCATTTTGAGGATTACAAGCCACTTAAAGCCCCTCAGTTTGGGTCTGTCTGATGCTTTCTCATAGTTGCTACTGATACTTCGCATTAATATTGTTTCTTCAGGCCATCAAGGGTGGCATAATGATGGAAATGCAGTGTCCTGGTTAAGTGCATGGACTTAAGTCACAATACCTGGGTTCAAAATCTGGCTCTACCAGACTGTGAGCTTGGTTTGTGACTCAGTTTTCTCATCTATCAAATGGAGAAACGTTAATACCTATTTCATAGGGGCTTGGGGATTATTAAAAGAGTGAATAGATGTAAAGTCACTGGAACAGTGCTGGCACAAAGTAAATGCTATAGAGGCTAGTTTGTATGTGGAATTGGGATTTCACTGGCTTTCCTGGTAGGAAATATGTCCTTGTGAATCGACGCCGAGACCTAAGAAACAGTAGGCATTTTAGTTTTGAACATCCTTTGCCCTTCCCACCCAGAGCCAGGGTCAAAGACCTGCCACCAGCAGCTTGCTCTTTGTCCCTGCTCCTAAGTCCCTGAGATGGACTCGCTTGGTCCACACAGCAGCATTTCTTCATAATAGGTCCACGTACTAGGAACCGAGGCTGCGTTTCCTTGCCCATCAGTTACTGGGGAAAATGTGTCAAATTAAAAAAAGAATGTTGTGAAATAATTAAGCCCCCCTCTTTCCCAACTATGCCCAGAACTCAGGCTTTCAAGCTTCATTAGTGCAGCTAGCATTTTAGCCACGGACACATTCACTGAATAACCACAGTGATAACCTCAGCCCCTAACCTTTCCATGTGCTTCTTGTTGAAGGGGCCAAACCACTCAGACCCTCACAATACTTACTTTATTGGCCAATCCTGGGCAGACTCCACAGTGACTCTGCTCCTTCCAAGGCTGGATGGGGGCAGGGAAGGAAGCCTGAACAAACTAATTCCAAGAAGGCAGAAAGAATCTGAGACACATCTATGGAAATCTGGTACATGACAACTACTCATTAAAAATGATCAAAGCGATAACAAAACCCCCTCAGTATAAAAATAACCATGCTTTCACCTGAATAGCAAATGACATTTTAAAAACAATTATGGTCTTTTACCTCATCTGATCACCCCTCACCCCCAAGGCACTATTTTACAGATGAGGAGAAAGACGACTGCGAGGGAAATGGCTCTAAGTGGCAAAGCTGAAACTAACTTGGGTCACACCTCCAAGTACAGCACATTTCCCACTTAATAAGAAAAGAGGAAGTGCTCTAAATGTAGGTCAGACTAACAGGATTAAAAGACTGCAAAAATACAGACTGAAGTGGAAAAATGTTAATGCAACCAGCTACAGTAGACTTGTATCTTAGGCGTCAAGAAGGACAGGAGTTTTCAAGAAAAGGAACTTTCACAAAGCCTTGGATGCAAGCTGAGGAACAAAGTAGGGATGGAAGTGGGAGGGGGAAGAGGGGAGGGGAAGAGGGCTGCAGGGGGGACGGAGAGAAAGGTGTACACACCAGCCCCCCTCCCGACCAAATCTCAAGCTAAATGCCAGTTGAACACATATACAAATGGTCAATCTTTTCTGAGTTGTACAGGCAGAGAGGAAATCAGAAACTTATTTCACATCACCAGATTGCTTCCATATTACTCTCATGTCAAACTGAGACCTTTCCAAAAAAGAGGCTAAAATATCAATCATATCATACCAAAGTTTATTGATTACATCAAACAAAAATCTCTGTAATGAAAAAGGCAAGTTGCATTCATAAAAGATGGCATTCACATTCATTATAGAAAGCAACAACGTAGATGTAAAAAATTGCTGAAGTGAAAAATGTCATTTGCAGTCCCGTTTTGCAAGCTGAAAATGATTTTGTCAACACTTGCATAAAACCTGCATTTATATACTGCATGTTATTAAAAAATTCCATCACTAAATTATTATGAATTTTGCAAATTTAGGCTTACATTTTATACTGTTGCTGGTGTAAATGTGGTAGATATGGAATTTATGTTTTCAGTTTAGTAGGTAACATCCTCAAACAATGGACAACAGTTATGAAAATTACAAGAACATTCTGTCGTTCAAAATTATTCAGATGATGGATATATAATCCTATTATTACATTTCCCCCCTTTTTCTATCACAAAATAAGGTGGTTAGATTGTAGTGCTAGGAATACTGGATGGCTTACTTCAAGTTATTCGATCTGCTAACCCCATGCTAACCATTTTTTTCAGCTCATTAATTAATATCTTTCAAAAAGTTGTCAAGTCCCCCTCAAGGATCTGGGCCATGATATTACACATCATTGCCATTGTGAATTTGAGCTGCAGTACCATGTGTAGCTAAGATACGACTCTAAATCCTCCTACTCTTTCTTCCAGGCTGCAAGGAATTTTACACGCCACCAGTCATACTTGCGCTGCCCTGGGTATTCTGATTATGTCAAATTTCCAATGGTCTGCATGAAACACGCCTTTTGAGTTAACAGTGGGCTCTCATTTGTATTCACAGTCCCTATAATTCTTACATAAAACAACAATAACAATATGGCAACAACCACAAAAACAAGAACAACAACAACAAAACATCAAAAGCTTTCCTGGGGTCTGGTTTTTTAGCTCTTTGGAATAGGTAAAGAATACATCGACTTGGTTTTCAGCAGACTACCTCAAATACGGGCGACTAGAACACAGCACACTTAGGAAGGTGTGGTGACACCTAACAAAATACTCAAAAATAATACTGATAGATGAGAACAAATGAAATAATGAAAAAGCGTCAGTAATGATGGAATGGTTTCTGATAACTGAAATTATGTCCTTTCTAGAATTTAAGAAAAATTACACCTAAACACTAACACAAAAGATGGATGGAGGAATCAAATGTGCCATATGGACTCTATAAATACATTGGTAATTAATTGAATCTAATACTTTCCCAAATCAAGGTATAATATAAACGCTAATAATCGTACAGGCATGCCAGAAAGACAACCAAAGATGGAAAGTGGTATGAAAACACCTTTTACAAGACCATTTTGATCTAGTAGTCAAATGTAGTCATTTATATATATAAAAAAAAGTGTGTTCATTTTAACATTTAATAAAGACATGTCACATTTATTTTTATGTTTAAAGTGAATGCCTTAGGAGGCTAAAACCTCTCTCTAGTCCGGTAAGTCGAGGGCTTTACTGAGGTGAATCTCATGGTTTAAGAGTTGGACCACATCCCTAGCCAAGTTGGCTAAGAGAGACATTCATGTTCAGAGTCGCACTCTGCAGGCTGAACCCCTCCTCCTTCCCAAACCGGCCAGTTAAAAAAAAAAAAAAAAGTGCTGCATATCTGCACAGATACAACCTCCTTCAAATAAAAACCATTAACAGTTTGAAATAAGCTATTCTTCCTTTTTCTCCACAAAAAAATTTAAAACTGATGTCCACAATGACCTTTATTTTTGGGTAACTATGGTTTTCCCCACCTTGCCTCAGATTCCAGTAAAACTAATACTGGAAAAATCTGTTCTATCTTAACTATTTTGAGGGGCTACTAAGGGAATGTAAATGCTTTATTTTCATATCTAGTACCTTTATACCCATTAAGTGTAGCTGAGAAGAACAGAAATAAAATAAATAACTTCCTTTGATTTTTACAAAAATACCCAAGGTTAACATTCTTTCCACCTAAGTGTTCAAGGTATTTTTTGGCAGGGATATTCTACCAAGACAAAATTAGCACGTGGGTGAACAGAAAGGATTAATTCTTTTATCTGATATATTGATTTAGTCCCCTTACATTTTCAAGTATTCCTTTCATATGTTTAGAAAAAAAATAATTTAAGATTATCATTCAGCAGGAACAAGAAATGTGATCCAAACAGCCTATTTCTTCTGCCAGGCAAAACAAGGTAATATTAGCAAAATCTATTCATTCCCATTGCATGGCTTCTACTTTATACTATTATATTTAAATCCATTCACAGAATTCATGGGTTAAAAGAGCACCCATTTGGTAGTTTTTATTCTATCTAAAGCCAGAAATTCTAAATATTCTTGCTTCAAACTTTCATATAATTCATAACTTAGAGCTTTGGCCATTAACAGCTACTTACAATAACTGTAAATGCTTAAGAGAGTCATTTGGTATTTTAATGGACATTTATTCTGAACCTTAGACATAAGATAGTGGTTTAGTTTGTTGCATATCGAGTATCCTGAGATGATAACTTTTTGTAGTTGCTTCTTCATGCTTTCTTTTTTTAGCTGTAACCACTGTCAATATGCTTGTAGGACAATAACATAGGCAGTTCAAGATTCGGATTCTGAAAGATTTAAAATATACAGAGTTAAAAGGTTTATTTTAATAATAATGTGAAACCATCTGTTTAGCATTTTCAAAAATAAATCAACTAAGTAGTAAATTTTGCTATGAGAGTAAAGCAATCATCTTAACAAAGTTGCCAAGTTTTATTCACATGCAGGGGAAAAAAAAAGAGTGACGCACTAACCAGTTTTTAATCCTTTCTTCATCTATCAGCTGAATAGATTCAGACTTGCTGTTTGCTTTTGGATTGCTCCAGGGTTCTCCTAATAATTGTTACCACTAGAACAGCAGAGGCTTAGCTCCCTAAGATCCCTTCTTCTAGCCTGTGAAGCTCCAATGAAAACAGGGACATTTTATCTAACTTTCTATCTCGAGCACTCAGCCCAGTGTCTGGCACACAGCAGATGCTCAGGACATGTTGAATGAATGAATTGATTACTCTTTTTTGGATGTGTCAATTATGACAAAGTCTGAAGATATATTCAATTTTGAAAAATTCTTATGAAAGTACTTTTCCCTTAGTTAAAGAAACGCTTCCCCCTGTAACACTGAAGTTAATTTTCTTCTTGGTAGATCACGTATCTATGAGTCAATGGACTCTTCTGCTTTTCTTATTCATCATCTTTTTAGAAAAGAAACCACAGTAATCTCCCTAAGAAAGCTGTAGATTCTTCTTTGGCTTCTCAACATTATCAAATGCTACGACGAGGATGGGGCATGATAGGTCAATTGATCACTGAGTGTCAATCTTGAGGAGTGGAAGTCCGATCAGGGGAGGGAGCCTAACTTTGATTCTGTATGCAAAAATCCAACCTTTTAAACCTGAGCAGTGGAGGGCCTTCAGGGGTGTGCTATTTTATTCCCATTTGGGCACACCTTCTTTGCCAGGCTTTGACGAGAAGTCTTCTGGAATACCTTCCATTGCTTTTGATGTTCCATATTCTCATATTAGTTCATCAGGTAGCAGAGTCAAGGTGACACTAACCACAATGAGGTTGCCATTCACATGGAGAACTTATAAAAGGAGTAGGCAGTTCCCTTATCAACCAAGGGATAAACTCAGTGGCTAAACTAATTGCCAAATAGTTTCCTTGGAGGAGAAATAATGTCAGATGAAAATATATTCCTGGAAGAAATAACTACATTAAAAAACAAACAATTGTCTTCTGAAAAACTCCCTCAGTTCTGTTAGGCATCATTGGAGTTAAGGCCCTGGAGAGACCAAAAGCATCAGCAATGCCTGCCCCCTAGCCTAGTCTCCCGAACCACAGACCAAGCTCAAGGAAAGCAATCCAGGGGGATCCAAAGTAACTGGAAACAGCATAGCTAAAATGCACCACACAGCTTAGGACAAGGCTATCTGGGACAAAATGGTCAAAGACTTTGAAGGCTACGGGGAAGCAGATTCATTACTGAGGTGAGCACATAAGCAGGTGAGTCACTCAAAATGGGTAAAAGGATGTAGACTGAGACAAAATGAGTTGGCTTCCAAAATAACACTGCAGATGCAGACTGTGATGAACTGTATGAGATAGAAGAACCAACAATCTATTAGCTCAATTTTTATTTATTGCTGGAGAGTGGGGAAGTTGATAGCTGACCAAAAAAGGGGGGGGGGACCTATGACGTAAACTCAGCTGTTAGCATCAAAGTGAACTGCCCCACAATTTCATTCATGATGATCATTAATTTTTATGTATGCATGAAAGACTGCCCTGCCCTAAGCCGTATAGAGTTGTTTCCAAGCTGACAAACTTGTAAACCTCATTCATGAATTACTCTAAATTCTCATGGATGGATAAAAGACTTCTAGAGGTCTGGGGTGACAGAGGCCCCTGCAGTGGGGAACACAGAATACACAGAGAGGAGTCATTCCGAGTTCAGGGATTCTTCCCATGGCATATCAATTCCTTCCAAATTTTTTTTTTGGGGGTAAATGAAACAATATGTTATAAAATAAATACTCACTTTTGGAAAAATTAATTATGAAGCATTCTGTATAATTAGGCTAGCATCCCCCTGAATGGCTAGGAAAGATTTTACCTCTGAAGTTGAAACATTTAGCTTGAATAAAACTTGACATTAAAAAAAGTGATTAGCGTAGATTGGTACTTTAACACATACTTGGGCATCAGACATTTACAAGGACATTAAGTATATACCTGCAAACACAGACACAGCACATGGAGGTACAAACACACTGAATTATTTTCACATAATTCCCAAAAGAACATGCAATGCTAAACTGACTTGCTATTATACAGATGCAATTTTGGAATATTTATTTTCAATTTTCCAAATGATCTTTTAAAATGAAAATTATATTTCCTCAATCAGTATTAATGAGCATTTTCACATGATGCCGTGACAACATGCCCTTTACAAATTAAATATACTGTATTACCCTTCAGCTGTGGAAAATGCCTAAAATGTTATTTGGGGGCTCAGCAAATTTGAAATATGTATTTCCCCATATTCCAAGTAATGCATCTTTATATTTTTGCAAAGAATAGTATAAAGTTCACCACACCAACAGCAGAGAAAATTTGGAGAGTGATATTTTCATTTTTTCTTTATAATGCTGTTAATCCGTTTCTTTAAAGCCAGCCCACTTGTTTAACACTAGGTACCTGTTACAATATATTAGATTCGTCTGAGAATGTTCGTAAAAGAAGAGGTCTGACTGAAGGTCTGGTGGATAATGAGTCAGATGCCTTTTTACAGCTCAGATTTCTCTGTAATAGTGAGGTAAAGATACTTAAAGCGTTAGAAGGTTGGTTAACCTACCTGGTGATAAAAATGTAGAAGAAAAAAATCATTTCCTATAGACTACTCTTGGCCCAAAGTACAAATGATGACACTAGATCAAACGCATAACATTTAAATGAATACATTTAAAGACCTAAGAAAGTCTCCAATTCGAGTAGAATTGTTTTCATGGTGGAAGTATACAGACAGTAGCCGTATGTGGCAAACTTGTGTTTTTGAAATGACACTGGTAAGTTATGTGATAGATGAGTCAGTATGGTTTGATTAGTAAACCTTACCATCCTTTTGGTGAACACCTCTGAGAGTTGTGAGGGTGCTGAGTGTATCAAACAAAGAGAAACTTGTGCAAAACATTCCTGTCTTAGTGAACAGACTAGCTAACACGCTGTGGCTTCTGCTGCATACCAGGAATCAATGGGACCACAGACCTACAGTCCAAGTTTTTGAAAATCACTTCTGCTCCAGTCTGACAATTTGAGAAGGTGAACAAATGATGAAAGGAAAATGACAAAATATTCTTTAAGTATCAATAAGATATAAAGATGAGTCATGAGAATTTTCCATAAAGAATCAGAAAATGGTGTCAAGCAAATGAGAACGCAAGCAAGTTGGTACATTAAGAAAGGAAATCACCTTATTCACTCCAAGAGAAACTGTGATTGCTGGAAGTTTGAGAAAGCATGAAGATAGTAGATGTTCCTGAGGAAGGGAGGCGTTTCGTTACCTTGTTCACAATTGCACAAAAGGTGGAAAATTGCAGTAGAAAAAAGAGAAATGCAGAAACCAAAAAAAAAAAAAAAAAAAAAAAAAAAAGTAAATATTTTCTGAAATGTAAGACATTTAAAAAGAAACCTTGAGAATTCGAAGTCGAAATGACGTTAGTTTTGAAGACATTACTTTCTGAAGTAAAAGTAGAGTTAGAGTTAAGAATAGTCTATTATATGTGTAAACTGCTATTTCTCTGTATATCAATTAAAAAATTTTTTGTTAATGGGAAAATTGACTATTTTGAATAAAATAACTTAAAAATATGCTTCTTATTTGAAATAAGGCTCATCTCTAATCACTAAACTTACATCGTTCAAAATCCGCTGGTCAGAGAGCTATGTTCAGGGTCCATCAGCAATCTATCTTGAAGCAACTATCTCCCCTATCCAGGCGCACAGATGTAATCTCAAAGGACTGACTGCCCTCAGGCAGCTGTAGGTTAAAAACCTAATCAAAACTAACATAATGAGGAAACATTCGGTGAAACCACACTTCAGTACCGTTTACCTCTGGACCGATGCTTAATTTCCTTTATTCTAACATAATTTGATCAGTTTCCCCCCTTTTTCCGATAGAGACTTTAAAAAGGTTGGCTAAGGAGCCATGAATTTTTCCTTTAAAACACTTAACAGAAAGTAAAAATTGATAACTTAAGGTTTAATCAGAAAATCTAAGAGGTTACTTTTTTTCTTTCTTATTCTAATCTACAGACTCGGTTTTGGTATTGCTCAAGCAAAACAGAAGGTGACTATGGCGATGAGCTTAACGATTCTGCTAATGAGGAGTACCCATATTATCTACTTAGTGCCTAATGAAAATAAACCTAAAAAAGAAACCAGCTAAAGTAACGCATGCATCTAGCGGAGTCTAATGAACAATTATCCTTCTAAAGGCAAGTACTTTGACGTTTTCTCCTGCTTGTATTTTACCTTACAGAAAGCTGGTAACATGTTCGTAATATGCAAACTACTAATTGATAAAGCTAGAGAAATAAATACTTAGTTTTTGAGAAAAAATTGTTTAATTGTTCTGTCTTCTATTTTGTGGGCAAAAACCTTGCAACAAGATTAACATGATACCAAATCCCCCACCCTGTGTTTAATATACAAGCCCATCTATTTAAGACTGTAACTGAAGCACATTTTGGCGTGCTCAAAACCTTGTATCCAACCATCAGAGAGATGAAAGTATTTCTATGAAGCAGAAATTTCAGGGGTTAATAGGATACTTTATAAAGGGAAACAAAAAAATATGAAAGTATAGAAGGCAGTAGAGAGCATGGAAAGAGTAAAGCGATAAAAAATTGATATAGCTAGCAACTGGTGGAGGGGGTGAAAAGGATGGGAGATAATGAACTTAAACAGTATGAAATTTCCGCATTCCTTTGCAATCATCTAGAGAGCTTTGACATTGGCTCAGTTAGCAGTCTGTCAAAGAGGCCAATGCATAAAGGTCCATCTCAACAGCCATGATGTTAGGATTCAACTTTATTTTTGTCTAGTACAGATCTTTAGAACCCATGGTTGTATAGGACACTGTTAGAATTGCAATAGTAATCATCTTTGTCACCACTGTTATTGTAAGGATAAGTTGTATTCTCCAAAATTCTCAAAGTGCTTTCTCTGGGAATTTTGCTCAGACAGCTGACATTCTTTTCCTGTCTTCCACTCTGAAGGCGCTCCCTATGTTAATGGAATGTTTCCTCTTGTTTGTGCAGACATCACAGGCAAGCCATGGCCAAGTTCCTGGGTCCATTCCCACTAGATTACAGTGTTCCCATGGCTAGTAGGCGAAGTCAAGCCTCCTTTTGATTGTGGTGGTTTACATGGGAAAACTTTACATAAAGATATGTGGAAAATTCCTCCACTGGAACTGGGAACTGGTATTGACTAGTTGACTAGAAGGTCCAGGTGTATTTCATTAAGAGACAGCCCAACAAATGTACTTAGAGGGACACGGCTTTTTTGAAATACCAAAAATCCTAAACTTTACATTTCCTTTGAAGTGTCATCTGCTGTTCCATTGTTTCACGCTCAATGACAGTTTCATCACACACTGTCAGCAGCGTGGCAGTGCAGCTTTATAACCTAAGGAAACGCCCTATGATCCGTAATGATGAGATTTTAGCTCAAAAGTTAACTACGTTGCTGAAAATAAGGGTGTGAGAATATATTCATCCCTGAGTAAAGCCACTGACGGAACCTAGATTCGAAGATAGCAGAAGTCCTTATAACACTAGTATCATGACAGAAGTCAGCTGTGGTGGAGGCCACCCTAGCAGCCTTTTTACTGGAGGCTTCAGGAGGCAGTGACTTGGACCTTGAAATAGCTCAGCTGTGTTACAGTAAACCATATTGTTGAGTCTACTATTCTGCTGTATACCTACTTATGAAGTGTTCCGAGTAAATCCCCTTTTTAAGTCAACTAGAGTGAGAGCTCCCTGTGAATTGGAGCCACATTGCTTCATCCCTGAATTATCAACACCTAGGATAGTAGCTAACTTAAGAGTGGACCCTCGGGCAATGTGCGTTGAATTGAATAGAATTCAACAGAAGGGTGCTTCTATAATTGTTAAATGTAAATAGCTTAGCTTCTCTCTCAAATGCCATGGAGACATTTTCACTACCCACTGCCGAATTCCCTTCTCAAAGCAGCTGCCAAGACCCACAGGAGGACAGCACAAGCAGTCTACTTGTCACAGGCATTTCTGGCTCTGTGTACAAAGGATCCTGGTGCTTAGTGGCTGAACTCAGGGGGTATCTACCTCTAGGTAGGGACAAACACTTGACCCTGTTAGGGAGCCTGTCAGGTATGAAGCTGATCCAGTGTGAAAAAATCTTTTGCTCTTTAACATCAGGTCAGTGTCTTAGGCAAAGGATACTGAATAAAGGAAGTCACCCAGAATGCCACACCGTTGGTCATTACGATAGCCTTTGTCCTTTATCTTAGAATGGCCTCTGCCTCTTTGATACGGCCCAATAGAGCCTTATGTAAACAGATGTGACTTATCAGAGTAGCCGTGGCTGCCATGTTTCAGCTGGCCTTTATGCATTCATATGCACTACTTTGCTCTTGCGTTTTCTTGCAAGGGGGGAAAAAAAAGAAAAAGAGGCAGTGCTGCTGAGTGCCCACAATGTTTTGTCTCATCTGCAACTCTCAAAATCCCAGAGAGTCTGAAAAACCATTTAGCTTTTCAGACTTTGGATGTAAAGAGAGATGTTCATCAGTAGGTGGTTCAACACATGTTCACTGGTTCCATGAGGATAGGAATAAATGAATGAATGATTGAATGAATGAAGGTGATTATGGAAATTCTCCTGGTTGTTCTAGCATATCAGCAGGCCAAGCTATAGCACAGACACTAGAATTTCTCCTATCACAGACATAACCCACGGCAAACAAATTTCATGCTGAACCTTGGCGACGTTCTATGCTGCTAAGTGAACAGGGCTGCAGTCCCATAACCCCATGCTTTCAACAGAATCTGCTGTCTGCATGGAAAGAAAATATTCTAAGCCTTTATCTGTGACTACTTTGTTGCATCCTTCTATTTAATGGCCATTTAATTTATATAAAAGTCTCCTCCTGCCAGTGTCTAATTTTTTTTAAAGGGCCTAAGGAAGAGGATAAGATGATATATTTGAAGGTTTTGATTTCTAATATTTTTGTATCATCTTTAGAGCATGAAGCTGGGTGTGAGCCATTATTTAGCATGAGCTCCATTACCCCAAATAAGAAAAATATTGAGGAGCACCTTAAAGTGTACTCCCAAATAAGGAGAGTGGAAGAGTACCTCAAAGGCCCTTCCCAGACAAATCCTCTATTTCTTACTATGACATTTTTTATTTGGCTTCATGCAAATTGCCACTTGAGCCCTTCTGGGAGGAACTTATTTTACCCCTGTTCAACTGGTGTTAACGTTTAATCAGACAAGCAAATGCCACTTTCCCATTTTAATACCAGGCTGGAGGGTTATGGGGCACAGATCGGGAGGGTCTACTGGAGGGAATATCGAGAGACTAAGGTGGTTTTAGCTTGGTTAACGTTCTTGTGTCTAGTTCCACCCACAAGGCATGTAGAAGCAGGGAGTCAGGGCCAGTCCTGACCACCTAACTACACACTGATTGGCCTTGTACACCAAGAATCAATGTGGCTTATGTCACTGACAATCTAGTGCTTTCGAATGGGGCTGATACTGACTTGTATCATGAAGCTCCTCTTTTATACATCTAATCAATGAAGATCTTCCCACTATAATCATTTTAGTTTCCTATGTCTCCATGATGCCAACCACTGGATTCTATCAGTTCAACAGAAAAAAAAAAAAAAAACAAAAAACCCCCCCAAAACCAAGCCCAAGACAAACCAGTTTTGTGACTAAACTTGTTCGCAAATTTGATCAAATAGATCAGGCAGACAGAGCTCAGACTACTTCCTGAAAATATTGCCTTGGAGGAGCTACAAGATCTAGGTGTCAGTATGATAGAAACAGGGTTTTGTTTGGCAAAATGAGCTAGTATTGGCAGAAGTATGAACATATTTAATTAACTTGTTGGTCAAAATTTGCCAGTTTTATTTTCCAGGCTCATCTACCCCTGTTAGTTTAAAGGCTTTTTAAGAAAGGTTCAAAAGATATCAGACAATGCAGGGCCAAGCAATTAGGCTGACAGAAGGTAATAACTTTTCATTCTCGTGAAAAATTCACAATTTATAAGCAGCAAAAATAAAAACACACTCATAAAACAATCCTGAATTTTTACAAGTGTGTTTGGGAGGGAAGGATGTAGAAACCACATCCAGGGAATTCTCTTTGGTTCAAATATACTGCTGACAGACAGGGCTAGAAGCAACACAGAGATTAAGCAGCACTATAATTAAAGGAAAGGGAAAAGTTTGAAAGAGACAAATTGGGATTATCAACTGAAAAAAAAAATCTGCAAACAACCCACAGGGAAATTTCTAAGGTTAAGGCTGGAATGTTGGTGTGGAAATTCCCAGTGTGAAAATTCTAGGCTAAAAAAAAAAAATAATTTTTTTCCATTTAAAATTCCATATGGAGCATATGAGATACTCCATATGGACTGCTAAAGGTCACATAGAACACTATTAAGGAATCTACTTACCACCTGCATTGGATAACGAAGTTTTTTACTATACTTTTTATGCAGAAGAGGAAATTAAGTGATGAACCTGTAAGGAGGGGTTTAACATGCTGTAACTAATGCAATTCTCTAAATACAGTTTTTAGTTCATGGCAGATATTGACGCCCCTTCCAAAAATCAGGTTATAATAAATAAACTTAGTCCTTACCCTGGCACTTCTTCTTCTTACATTCTTTAATACTATCAGGAGAATCTCAGGGAAAAGGCTGATAAATATTAGAAGAAAGATGGCCAACCAGGTGGATACAGAAGACAGCATTTGAGCAAATACGAAATACATTCTCTGTTGTTTGAGAAAAGGCCTAGAGTGGAAAGAAAATACATAATGGAAAAACAAATCAGTTCTTGTTATATGAAAGAGCAGTGTAACTGAAATTGTCTTTCGTATTTAAAAGGAATCCTTGTTATGCACATTGATAAAAATAATTTTCTTTAGAATGACCCAAAAGTAGTAAACAGATTTCATTTGCTCAATGTTTGGAAAAGGAAAGGAATGATACTCAAACGGGAAAAAAGATAATAAAATGCATTTGACTTGAAAACAACTAAGCAATCAGCTTTAAAGCTGCCAACTGGAGAATATGTATTTGTATTAGAAAATGCTGAAGCTTCAGAGATATTCAAAAGAAGTGATGATTAATTTTCATGCTAACAAACATTTTACTTCCTCACCTGTTTTATTAATATAAGAATGGATTTGTGCTTTACATTCAGAAATGTAAGCCATTTTTATAACCCTGCCTCAAAAAACCCATATGTAAATATAAAAAGGACCGTAGTTTTTCTCTCTCAGGTGGGAGGAATCTACCACTCTCATCCACAAATATACACCAAGTACCAGTGTGTGCCGAATCACCTGACAGAAAGAATACTGCTAATCAAACATGAAGCCTTGGCGCCCAGAAATTCAGGATGCTGCCGCCTCACTCTGTGGGGGCTCAGTCACCCACTGAACTGTTAGGCAGCCATTTGGAAGTGCAGCCAGTTCCCCTTTCCTGCCTCAGCTGAACCTCAGCAGGCTGGGTGACTGTTGCCTGAAGCTGAGGGGGAGGAAGTGCAAAGTGGCTGCTCAAGGCCAGGGTAGACATCAGACTGTCCTTGGATTAAAAGCCTTAGGTAGATAAGTGCTTGGTCCCATTTGGTACGTCACAAATAGTGCTCACTGAAGACAAACTGGTTTCTCCTGGAAAACCTAGGAGTGCGGGTACAGCTCAGTGGTAGAGCTGCATGCTTAGCATGCACGAGGTCCTGGGTTCAATCTCCAGTACCTCTGTTAAAAAAGAAATATGTAAATAAACAACCTAATTACCCCCCACAAAAAACAAAAGAAAAATACAAAAACTGGTATTTGTGCACTCTTATGTAACATGATGAAAATCAAGTCTGTGGTTGTGCGTATGTGAGGAATAGACTGTGAGCAGAACAGTCAGGGGTAGAAACTTATGAGGTCTGGGCTACACACGTTTTTTAGGGGAGGCCATAAAGAAAAGATTTCTGCCGAGTTCTATTCTTACTCTAATTCTGAAGTGCCCCCTGAACAATTTTCTAGGCAATTAACTGAGCCATAAGGGTCCAGCAGACAAGTGACAGCTAGTCACAGGATACTCCTACAATACTCTGTGATTACTAGCTCTCGATTTTTCTTTTTGACTTAATGGCATCTATGGAGTTTTGCAGGGGAGCAGTAAAAACCTGAAGATATTATTCCTGTATTGGGTTTGGGGCTTAGAATTCATCATTCTCACTGCCCATCACCAAAGGGGCATGTCACATTGCCTCAGGGTTGAACATGTCCAGAGATATTAGCTGCAAGCAGCATTCAGCCGAAGTTTTGCACAGTTTCTAGACAGTGTGTTGGCTGCTTTATAATATATATTTTATATTCATGTAGTAGCTCAACTCAGACAGGTCTACTTAAGGACAGCACTACAGGCAACAAAATAAGACAGATTAATATTTAATTTTTAGTAAGCATTTCTTAATGAATAGAAACAAGTATGACAATATCGTACTCATTTAAAGGATTTATTTTAATTGATAAAGAATAGCCTTGAAAGAGCGAGAAACTTGTTTTGTTTGCTAGAAACATTTTAATCTTGTGGAAATTTTGCATAATTAGTTCAGATGCTGATTACACAGATTCCTAGACAGAATTATGGTACTGTGGGCAGACCTACAACTGGATGTTGCATTTGGTTAATCAACTTTGATTCATTTCTGTATTATTAAAGAAAACAGAGACTTCCTTCAGATTCATTGCTTCAGTAATTACTTATATAGGTGTCAAAGAAATGCTGTAATTATACTTTTTGGAGCTGCTACTTCTGTAACTGATTAGGTTTTTCATATTTTTATTTCTTAAGGCTTTTCTTTTAAAAAGCTTTTCAAAACAGTACGAGTTTCTTCTAATTAAGTCTCAAGGGACATAAACACGGTCCTCACATCTCTGTGATAACATGGAATGCTTTGTAAGATTCTGCTCAAACCAATGAAAATATGTAGTCCTGGAGTCTCACTCTATGGCTTAATCTAAATTCTGCTGCCTACTGTTGGCATCCTTGTCAGAGGAAATCACGGATTAATGAAAACAACTGTGATATGTGAAAACAAAATATAGACCTCTGGGAGTAAGGAGAGTAGATGAAAATCTAACTTTTTCTCATTCCATATAACTCTGACTCTGATTGTCTTGAGGCAGGGGCACAGGCTATTCATCTCTGTACCCCTCAGAGAGCTTCACACAAAATGGATCTGAATGAACATCTATTGAACCAAGATGAACTGAATGAACTTAAAGTCCAGGCTGTTGCGTCTACCTTTACCTACCCGCAAACAATGGGATAGTGATTTCAAGATATAACCCTCTGAGGATTAAGTGACATATTCTATATCTCGAGCATGTCTGTAGCGATGAGAATGAGAGTAATATAACATAAAGAGAGAACAGGGTCCAAATGGATAATAATGTACCTATTGGCCACTATATCCTATGGAAACTTCACAGGATGAGTATTCCCACTGGAAATAACATGGGAGGTCATTCTAGAAATTACAGTTTCATTTTACAGAGAGATGTTTACACCACTTCAAGTTGAAAGATTTGGACAGGGGCTACCAGAAGCAAGGTCTTTGAAGTAGCTCATGCAGTCTACATACTTGCATTTGAAATCTTACCTGAAATTAGCAGCATTCCTGGCTAGAAGTAACTTCCAGTCTATTAATATTGAAGATTTGCCATCTTATATAATCAAAACTTTAAAAGTATAATGAATGTTTGCATATCCAACGTACATATAGTTATTTACAGATTACTCACACATACAAGGCTGCTTACCATATAATTCCTCCCCAGAAGAATGAGAAAAATACATAAAAGGCTAAAGAACCCCAGATCACAAAGTGGTTTATCCACGTCCAGAACCGAGTATCCAAGGCGAGCTGAAAAGATACAA